CAGAGCCTGGAGCCTGTTTCCGATTCTGTGTCTCCCTCTCTCTCTGCCCCTCCCCCGTTCATGCTCTGTCTCTCTCTGTCCCTAAAATAAAATAAAATAAAATAAAATAAAATAAAATAAAAAAACTATACCCTGATCCTGAAAAAGGATTTCTTAAAATTCTTTATGCCTTTCTATCTTTTCTGGATCTCCCACAATTAACATGGATTACATGTATGATGGGTAAAATACAAATGTTATTTTTCAACAGGAGAAGGGACTAATGAGGGGCAACCCATTGTCCATCAATCGGTAATAGCACAGGCAATGACCAACCCTCTCGACCCCCATCCCCCCAGAAGAATGGCCTGGAAATCACCCACTGGAGGACTCATGTCAGGGCCCTGCAGAATGACAGGAAGAACGGGCTTCTGGAGAGAAAAGTGTTTTCTCCAGAAGCATTCCTGCATCATCAGGTGAATATATCATAAGAAGGCACGTTTTCAGAACCTCAAGCTTAACTCACCTGGGGTCTCTGTGGGACCCCTCCCCTCCAGCTTTCCTTTGAAATCAGTCCCCAGAAACCCCACACTAATGGTTATCACCAACCATTCTTCCCAGAAAAACTCTTGTCCATGGGATGATAGAAGTAGCTGATGAGAATAAAGAGTTTCTAAAAACTTTAAAGACCTACGGCGGGGAGTGGGGGGAATGAAGGCTTCTAGTTGTGGGGTTTGGGGGCAAGGCTGGGGGGCAGTTAGGGAAAATTGCCCAAAATTGAAATACTTTTTAAAGTACCCTTTTAGATGTAATTTACACAAAAATAAGTGTTTTGGGAAATGATCTGGCATTCTGTAAGGCACCTACTGTGAAACAGACAAAAAAAGTCTAAGTATACTGCAGACTGCAGTGTACTTCTACGTTCCGATACCTTTTCAAAGATAATTTTCACACCATAAAGCATACTTGAAGTGCACAGTTTGATGCATTTGGGCCAATATATGCATCTGTATAGCCACTACTCGGATCCAGACAGACAACATTTTCATGGTTCCAGAAAGCCCCTCTATGCCTTTTCCCACTCCTCCCTCCCAGAAGATACCAGTTTTCATCTCTACCACCACATACAACCATTTAAAATCTAAACAATGCTGGAAGACAACTATCATTATTTCCACCTTGTAGATTTGGATACCACATCCCAGAGAAGTTCAGTCACTTCCCAAAATGCGTTGGTACTGGCGGTGGGTCAGTGACAGAGCAAGTAAAGGACATGGGCAAGTCCTGTCTGGCCTTGAGCCCATGATTTTATCAACATTCATGCTTGAAATATATACAGCTACAACATGTAAATTGAGGAGCCCCCTCCCCCCCCACTTCTTTACGAATTAAAAAAGAAAGCTTTGAAAATAGATGGGAGGCAATGTGTGGCTAAGGGCTTGGGTTTGGACATCACGCCTGAATTTGAGCACCCAGCCCCGCCACTGATCAGTTGTGGGCGAGTCACTGGAGTCTAGTTCCATCTATGAAACAGGGACAAGGGCAGTGTCTCCCTCCAGGATTGCTGTGAGGGATGCCAGAGAGCACTCAGCACGGTCTCTGGCTCAGAGCAAATACTCAAACGCCAAAGACTCACACTATGATTATTTCAAAATGCTCTCAAAGTCTCAAATGATCTTCTCTGAAGACAATGCCCATTTCTACGGACACCCACCTGAATCACTAAGAGATAAAGGCAGAAACCATCCTGATCTAGCCTTGAGACTCCAGAATAGACGGGGAAAAAAAGCTCCAAACCTTCCTGGAGCCCACCCTTCCAAAGGTCAGTCACCTCAGTACTAGGAAAGGCCCTTAGCTAAATGGTTCTGTGTTCTGGTCCCTGAGCCCACACTGCACCGAGCTAAGGACACAAAGCAGCAGACAAAAAGCCTCTCACGGCAAACCTCTCTACCGAAGACTCCCCAGCCATTGCTCCTGGGATCCTGCTTTTTCCCTTGTTTCAAAGATTTGATTCCATCATTAATGAGGTTGGGGAGGGTGGGGCAGGAGACAGCAAAAGTGGTTGTGAGAAACGAAGATGGAATTCATATTTGAGGTACTGGTTACCAATTGTATTCCATCAGAAAAGTTGAACCCAATTAGGGAAGTCAAGGCTTCTCTCTTTCCCACCTCCCCTAAGTCTCCTGTGGCGGATTCTGAACACTGGCTCTCCACTCCAAAACAAAACAAAACAAAACAAAACAAAAAAAAACCCAGCAGGGTCCTATCCATGTAAATTCTGATGTAACTGGTCTGGGGCGTGGCCTGGGCAACAGAATTTTTTTTTTTAACTCCCCTAGGTATTTCCAATGTGCAGCTAAGACTACAACCCACTGCTTGAAATAGTTCTGTATGCCTTAACTAGTCTGTATTAACTTCATCACCTTGGAGAAGCTCCCCAACCTCCTGTTCTATTGGCCCAGTGAATTCTGACCACATGTGAAAATAAACCAAAGCATCATAAGCAAAAGCCGGCCCCAATCTCACAGCTTCGGAGCCAAAGACAGGAAGTAACTGTATATGTGCTTAGAAAATAAAAATCAGCCCAAGGGGGAAAAGTGTTGGCTTGAAAAGAGGCCCCCCAGACAAGTACAATAGGAAAAAAGGCACCAACTCCCTGACCCTTGGATGTTTTCTCCGCAGTTCTCTGTGGAACTGTGTCCCCTGTGTGTGTATGCTGGGGGAAACGGGCACGTGGAAAGTTTGATCAAAAGTCTGAGGAACCTAGGCTACAGGCTCTGTTCCACCACTTCCGGTGTGAGGTTGAGACCAGCCTTTTGACTCTCAGTTTCCTAAGTTGTAAAATGAAGTGAAGGGCATAATCTTCATAATAACCTTCAGGTAATGCTAAAGTACTTGGCACCTGGTCCTTGGCATTGTTTCCCTTCTGTCCCTTCAAGCTTCCTTAAGAGGTCCCAGCCCCTGGCTGTACTACAGTCACCTGGGTGCACCGTGCCTGGGCTTCACCCCAGGCCAATTAATCAGAGTAGAGGAAGGGCAGCTCAGCAGTATTTAAGAAGCTCTTCGGGTAATTCTAACGTGCGGCCCGAGCTAAGAGCCACAGGGCTAAGGGGTTCCTTTAACCAGCTTGATCTCAAGTCACTGTCTTGAGGCTAATTATAAAATTTCCCCCAAACTAAAGGCATTGCTACAACTCAAGAAAGTCTGCTGTTCCATTTCCACCAAACTAAATTAAGGCGGCCCGATAACTGCAGCATTATTTTGCATCCAAAACTTGCTTATAGGGCAGCTACTGCTATTTCCAAGCGTTGTGCCGAATTACATTCTCCTCCTTTGTGTGTCACAGAAACCGATTTCTCTCAAGGATCTAGTGAGGAAGAGATGATCACCAACCCCAGTTCTGGGGGGAGAAGATTAATAATCAGAACTATACGTGTCCTCTGACTCAGGCCCCTTTCGTTACATAGTCCAAATCAAGAAATCACTAATCTCCGGTAGGGCTTGTTAAAACAGATTGGTGGGCCCAACCCCCCACACTGATTCAGTAGTCAGTGGTAGGGCTTGAAATTTTGGCCATTCCTAGCAAGTTCCCAGGTGATGCTGCTGCTGCTGCTACTGGTCTAGAGACCAGTTTGAGAACCACTGGTTTAATTAATGCCTTTCCCCCTTCAGGTAGTCCTTATTTTGCATAAAATGGAGTAAAGTTAGATACAGAATGGCTAAATCTTCTTCAGCAGGGTCCTTGAAACTTATCTTCTTTAAAGACTGCATTTTCCAGTTAAAGACCAAGCAAAGAAGTAAAAGCTAGCTGGACTTTAGTCATTCCCAGCCAAGGCCAAAGAGCTATTTGAGGAACAGACCCTTGAAAGATCACATGCAAACAGAAACTTTCGCACAGCTGGGTGACTGACATCCATTCCCAGCTCCTTAGGTGTGGCCACTTCGGGTCCCAACGGAAGTGACTAGATAGGTACCAAGGCGCCAGTTAAAGGCGCTGGACTCCGTGGCGAAGGCACCCTGACCTCAGGCCCCTGGCATTCCTTCAGGCGCTGGAGGCACATCTGCCCTCCCCTCCAGCTCCCTCGACTTCTTTCACCCGCTTCACTAACCCTCGTGTTCAGAAGCACCTGGAAGCCCCTTCGCCCCTTCCCCGACACCCAGGTGCTCCAGCCACAATTTCCAAAACCCCAAACGCTCCGCCCCCAAAGAAGCCCACGTCGCTCTCTCAGAACCTAACCATTCTCCTTCGCAACACCCTCCCGTCCTCGTTTTCCACTCCAACGTCCATCTTCGACGACCCCTCTTTGTTCTCTTCACGATAACCAATCCCACTCCCAACGAGCACTCAGGACTCAGACAACCGAACTCACCCACACACATATCTACTCTCCCAAGTCCAAATGCTCGTTCCCGATCCCCAACAGCCAGGGACCCTCCCACCCCCAAACACACACATACAATTATCCACCAGAGCCCTTCCCCCACCCCCGGCCTCGCCCCCCTCCAATCCCCCAACCGCCTCTCCCCTTTCGCGACTGCCCACAACGCAACCGCCCCCCTCGGCCCCTTCCCCCTCTACTCAGCCTCGGCCGAGCTCTCTCGGCCGCCCAGAGCCCGCAGGTAGTGGGCACCGCCCTCCCTACCATGAAAAGTCGGAGGACGCCGGAGTCTCCAAACCCGGACTGAAAGAGGCAGGAAACACCCAGCTCGCGCAAGCCGGGGGCAGAGGCGGGGCGGGGGTGGGAACTTCCGCTGCCGCAGCCTGCTTCCGCCCCGCAGAGGGCAACTTCTCAAAGGGTCCGTCGTAAGCCTAGACGTTTTTCGCGTTCCTTCCAACCTCCCCCTCTGGGATGGGTTGCATCTCCCCTCGTCTGGGTCAGGAATTTATCCCGCCCTTGAACGGTCTACTTTTTTTCAGCTTCCAGAAAGGAGGGCAAGATGCAGGGAGGTTGTTCTTCCCGGGTAAAGAAGCTCTGCGGAACTGTCGTTTCCTGAAGCTGGATCGTTGCATCCCAGCGGAGCTCTGAGCTAGGACACCCCGGGGCAAGATGGCGGTCGGGCCTCGGACGCTGCCCCGGGTCTGGCAGAGCTCGAGGGCACTGAGCTGAGGCGGCGGTAGCTTTGGCCCCGACCCGGAGCGCGGGGGCCTCGAGCGGATAAAGGTCTACGGCCTACGGGTAGCGAGTGGGAACAGGGTTGTGTGTTTTCCGAGTGGTGGGGGGACTTTGAAGGAGGTGGCCCTTTGGCCGGGTCCCTGCCTCCCCAAGTCGGAGGGCGAGTGCCGGGGGCTGACTTTCGTGCTCGGGGGGTTTCTCCGTAGCCGTTTCCATCCCTTTTCAGCTCTGGGGCGATAGGCCTTTGTAGACAGGCTAATGCTGGGTGAAAAAGGTTTGTTATTGTTGTTGATGCCGAGGAAAGATGCTGGGCCTCAGGAGTCCCTCCCCCAAACCGGAGTTCAAATCCTATACTCGCTGTGTGACCTTGGGTGAGTTCCCTCACCTCTCCGAGCCTCGGTTTCTTCCTCTGTAAAACGGAGTCATTAGCTCGTTTCACAGAGGGAGCTTTGTAATACAAGTTTTGGTACCTGGCATTCAGCTCTCTCTGTAGAGGCAGCTGGTGTTAATGATTTCAATAAAGAAAAACTTGGTCGTAATTTGACTCTAACTTAGCCCTGTGGACAGCCTTGCACGTGCAGCTGTTTGTTTTTGCTGTTCCATGAGTGGGGCAGTCTCCAGGTCTTATCGGTTTCACTTTAAATAATTGCTTTGGAATTGGACGTGGCTTCAGATTCAGGAGTCTAGTGACCTCTCACAAGTCACGTTCCCTCTACGTTTCATTTGCTCTGTGTGAAGGTGGGATTGATGATAACACACACCTAGATAGGCAATAGCCTTCAATAAATGATAGCTGTTCTTATTAATAGCCTAAGTGCTATTGCCTGTTCTTTCAAAATTGGACCATTTGAGACCTTATAGAGCTGTTGAAAAGACAGACTGGGTAAATATCTGTACACTGCCTGATTCATGATCCGCCCTTAAATGGTGATGGTCACCACACCTGCCTGTCCAGCTGTTGGCATCAGAGGGGGAAAATCCTGTCGGGCTCAGCAGTTGATATTTCTGGCCTTTCACCTTTGGATGATACTCTCTGGCCTCTTTCATAATTCTCCAGGAAATTGACCTCATCCAGGGAAGACTGATGTTGAGCAGATATCATGGGAATACAGACGTAGAGTCTGAGTCCTGTCTCTTAGTATTAAAATCTTGGCTCTGCCCATCACTGGCAGTCTAACATGGACTATGGGAGATACTAAGTGATCTCACAGGGTTGCTGTTCTTATGTAGAAGGGACATGACACATAGTGGGTACTTTAATCAACTTACTTTCCTTTTTGCTTTTTAAGTAATTTTGGTTAACCCAACCTCTTGGGTTTCTAATTTTTCCACCGATATCATTGTTTCCCCTAACTGGATTGTAAGTTTGTTTTTGGGGGGTTTTTTGGTTTTGAGTCTGGATGCTACAGTAAAGCCCAGTTATATGCTATCTGCTTTCAGATACTCCTTGTTAGTATTTTCCCACTTAATCCTAATCACAGCATCCTGACGACTAAATTGGGATACAAGAAGTGTAAATATTTCAGTTAATTCTTGTAGCACCCCTAGGAGGTAGGCACTATGATCCTCAATTTACAGATAAGGAATCTGAGGCCTAGAGAGGATAAATAATTTGGCCAAATGAGGTAGACTGAGAACTAAAAAGAACCAAGGGTACTCAATATGATCCAAGGTTTTTTCCTACTATACACAGCCTTTTCTTTCTTTGATTAAGTCAAAGTTTGTGTAATCTTTCATTACAGTTACTTCGAATACACACTTAAAAGACTTCATAATGTGTTTTGATTAATAAACTGGTAGATTTTAGATAGAAGAGGAGAATAAGAAGGAATTAGAAAAACTGCCAAGTACAGACTATTATACGGTGTAAACAAAACCAGCATATAGCATTGCTGAGGGGATGCTAATCTCAAGGAAGAGATCTTATCCTGCGAGGCTGCTTGGGAGAAGTGAAAGTTTTGAGATAGCCTTTCAGGTACTTTGTCAGTTTGCATATGCTATCTCCTGTTTTTCCATTGAGAAGAGGCTCCTTCTTTTCATCACCCCTTCCCCTCCCCATCCTCCCCCCCCCCCCCAAATGAGGGACTCTCTGCCTGTTAAGGAAGAATCATACCATTGTGCTCAGGGCTTGGGCCCTGTCTTCTGCAGCTCTCTGGAGCTTGAAGCTGTTAACCAATCTAAACAGGGCCATAGCCCAAGTGACAGGACTGGTGAATCTTAGTGCACCCAGGGATAGGACAAAATTTAATGGGGGAGGAACGTAAGGGCCCTTAGTGACTAGACAGATGAGAGCCCATACCGCAGAGTTAAGAAAAAAATTCTCACATCTGTACAAAGAATACATCATTTAGACTTACTGTGTAATCTGTCAGCCACCTTGATAGGTATTTGACATAAATTGTCTCATTAAGGCAGAAAGGGTCTGAGACCTCTCCCTGTGGGGGCTGCATGGCAGAGCTAGAGACAGGCTCCAGCTGTGACTCGAAAGGCTGTGTGCCTCTCACAGTGCTGTGCTGCCTCACTGCATGCTTTCTGCAGAGAATTTGGAAAACAGACTAGTTCAGGAAGCAGAACTTCCCATCATTCCTCCACCTCCAAACAACCACTGTCTACATGTTGTTTTTCATTTCTTAGGCATAAATGTTTTTCATTAAAAAAATGCCACACATAACTTTCAATGGCTTCTTTCAACGTTTTTTTTTTTTTTTTTTTTTGGGACAGAGAGAGACAGAGCATGAACGGGGGAGGGGCAGAGAGAGAGGGAGACACAGAATCAGAAACAGGCTCCAGGCTCTGAGCCATCAGCCCAGAGCCTGACGCGGGGCTCGAACTCACGGACCGCGAGATCGTGACCTGGCTGAAGTCGGAGGCTCAACCGACTGCGCCACCCAGGTGCCCCTTCAATGGCTTCTTAACATGCCATTCCCCTCTGTTCGTGCTTAGTGCCATAAAGTGTGTGCGGCTTCAATTAGCTTCTTTGGGGTTATTTTCAATCTATTCCCTTTCAGCTGAAGGCCTGGGGAGGTACACTATAACATTTAAACATGAAGGGATGCCTGGGTGGCTCAGTCGGTTGAGCATCCCACTTCAGCTCAGGTCATGATCTCACGGTTCGTGGGTTCGAGCCCCGCATCAGGCCCTGTGCTGACAGCTCAGAACCTGGAGCCTGCTTCGGATTCTGTGTCTCCCTCTCTCTCTGTCCCTCCCCTGCTCATGCTCTGTTTCTCAAAAATGGATAAACGTTTAAAAAATTAAATCAGACATTAAGTAAAAATGAGAATACTAGTGTTTTAAACCAGAGGCACTTTTTATTACTTTTATTCAGTGCGGAAGATATATGATACCCTGCCTGTAAAACTTAACCCCGAATCTGGATTTTTCCTTCTGCTTCTGCCAGGAAGGACAAGCTCCTCTGAAGTGAGAAGCTGCCCTCGGCATAGTGAGTCCTGTGCAACATCACTAATGATTACCTGGCGTTTCTGTGTCACAGGCAGGTCCTCAGGTGAGCTATTCAGACTGCTGCTGGGCAGAGAGAACAAGTGATTCAGAAGACTGCTACCTTCTTCTCCCCTGCCTTCTTTCCTGCCTTTCTATGACCAGGTGGGCTCTGTTCATTTGTTTTGACAATTACCGATGAGAGACCCACATGTTGTTTAACAGATGCGAATCCGTGTTGAAAAGGGACCACAGAAGCCTCTCGGTGTGTTGACATGGAAAGAGCCTTGAATGAGCTTTTTATTCCTGATGATCTTTTCATGTGGGCGCTGCTTTGAGGGAGGTAACATGGTAAAGGGATTGTTTTCCAGAAGTCTGGATTTCTGAGTCATCCCTTTGAATAATTTTGTCGGCTTGCCTGCTTATATAGTTGGGATAGAATGACAAAGTTTTCAAGCATCCAAAGAAATCATTTCAGCGTGGGAGGCTCCACGGACCCATGTTGTGTGCTCTAGGCATAGCCAAAGCCACATCTTTGGGAAAAGATAGTGATTGGTGATTTAGATAAAAATGTAATGGACAGTTTAGACCCTCTGTCCAAAACATGCCAGTCAGTGGATGGACAGATTCTGCTCCGAAGTCCTTATCAGCCCTTGGCAGAATGGGAACAGTAAGGACAGCCGGGTAAGTTACCCATAAAACCGAATATATTCAACCTAACAGATTGTCTTGCATTTTGGACTCACACGTTTGGTTTTTTAGCGTTAAAATGGCTCTTTTTCCAAAAAAATAAAGTAAAATAAAATAAAAAATAAGGGCTTATTTTGTGCTGGGCACAAAGTAGATACCAGTAAATATTTGTCTAGTGAACAGAGAAATGAAATAATGGTGACGGTAAATAATTATGTTCGACTTTTTTTCCCTTCAAGCCTGTACTTTGCAAAATAAATTTGACTGATCAGCTTTAGACTGCTCCAGAAAATTCAAATACCTAGGAACCTTTGACCTAGAGGATGCCTGGTTTGAATTAGAGCTTTATGGATGGAACCGGTTCATGCTTTGTTCATCTATTAAACAATTACAGAGCCCACACCCTGTGGCAGATGCTGTGCTCTTAAGAAGATGTGATTATTTAATGCAGGGAAAAGCACCGCTGGTCTAGATGAGGTGCATGAAAAGAGCCGATAGGAAGTTGGGACTTGTGCCAGGAGAGCTATTAGCCGCTGTGGAGGGAACCGAAGGGTCCTGAGTAGCTCTGCTGCTGCCCGAGTGCGTGCCCGCCCGCCCTTGGCTCGCGAGCCCCTTCCTGTGTGTGTTCTTCCTCAATGATCTACGTCAGCCACTCGCCGTTTTCCTTGCAGGGTTCGTGCAAACTTGCAAACATGTTCACCGTTTCTCAGACCTCGAGAGCGTGGTTCATCGATAGAGCCCGTCAGGCTCGGGAGGAAAGGCTGGTGCAGAAGGAGCGGGAGCGGGCAGCCGTCGAGATCCAGGCCCATGTTCGCAGTTTCCTGTGTCGGAGGCGACTGCAGAGAGAGATCCGGTGGGTGCTGGGAAATCCTCAGCACGTTGTCCCCTGTCCCCAGTTAATAGCAAGAAAAAATGGTGTTTTCTCCTACAGTTCTTGAAAAGCCTTCCAGCTGCTGTGAGCTCCTAATTTAAAATGTCTTTCCGCCTCCTTCCCCTCCTAGGAGAGAGATCGATGAGTTTTTTAAAGCCGATGACGTGGAGTCCAGTAAAAGAAGCGCACTTTGTATTTTTAAGATTGCCAGGAAACTGCTGTTCTTGTTCAGAATTAAAGAGGATAATGAGGTAAAATAATAATAGTGAACACTGTGCTCACCCATCTGCCAGGTCTTTTGAAAGTATTTTGCAAATATAATTCATTTAATCCTTATAGTGACGCTATACGATAGATTCTGTTACCACCACATCCTGCCCTTTTTGTTTTCTGGGACGTGGTTTGTGGGGATTACACCCAGTGCTTCTGAGAATCGTCACAATTCTTTTACATTGACCATGACAAGCACTCCGACTCAGATGCATACAGGAGTGAGGCAGGTTGGGCAACTGAGTGGAAGAAGCCATTTACAGGAGAAAACAACAAATTATAATAAGTAGGGGCACCAGGGTGGCTAGGTTGGTTGAACATCCAACTTTGGCTCAGGTCATGGTCACACAGTTCGTGGGTTTGAGCCCCGCATCGGGCGCTGTGCTGACAGCTCAGAGCCTGGAGCCTGCTTCGGGTTCTGTGTTTCCCTCTCTCTCTGCCCCTCCCCTGCTCATGCTCGCTCGCTCGCTCTCTCAAAAATAAATAAACATTAACAAAAAAGAAATAATAATCAGTAACTGGCAGGAGGTGGTGGTGATGGGGAATGATGACATCAGAGGGAGTTGATGGGGTATGTGGCATGGCCACTGAAGGGGGGCGGCCAGTCCTGGGCTCCAGCCGGTGGTGGACTGCTGTGAATTTTGAAGAGAGATGCTGGTGATCCTTGTACTCGTTTTTCTCATTTGTAAAAATTGGTAGCTAATTTGAAATTTCTTTTAAATCCTGTAAACCAAATGAAACGTGCTGGTTGCACTTTGGGGATTAGAATGATCAGCCTAGAAACGATTCCAGGAAGTAGCGAGTTGTCTGTAATAGTACTGACGGTCCCATCGAGGAGGGCCTCTGTGCTCCCAGGGGTTAGACGTTCATTACTGCTAAGCATCCCATTGTGCCAGAGTTTCTTCTAGGCAGTGGGGCCCCAGAAGGAAATGAGATGGGCGGGGTCTCTAACCCTGCGGAACATGTAGCCCAGAGAGAGGCAGGACTACACAGGCAGGAAGATGAGGACAGGCAGGTGCCGTGAGGTGACCCCTGTTAACGGAGGAAACTAGTCCAGAATGCTGAGGTGGCTGCCCGGGGCCATAGCACTTTTAAGGGTGGATCCAGGGCTGGTATAGACAGCGTAACGTGGTTTCCAGTTTCCACTCTCCTTCCTTTTGCATTTCAAGTTAAAAATGATGGCGTGACAGGTTGTGGGGAAAAAGTCCGTGTCTGTGGTGCTTACAGAGTGGCCACCGGGAGAGCGCGACCCAGGGAACAGCTGCTAGCCTGCAGGAGCACAGGCCCAGATTGCCGGGTTGATTGTGTTTTTTCCAAACGCACCCCTGGCTGAAACCACGTGTAGGGCTCCTCCAGCCTGTGGGCCACCAATTTGAGAACCTTACGTTGGCCTTTCTGATCCCCAGTTTCCACATCTATAAGGGGGAATTCAATATGATCACATCCGTGAGTCATCTGGCGTCATGTGAGTCCTGCACGTGCCAGGTACCCACGGAACGCTTGCTGCTTTCCCATTTCAATGTGGCTTGCAGAAACGTGTAACCCCCATCCTTCCTCTTCGCAGAGATTTGAGAAGTTGTGTCGCTGCATCCTGAGCAGCATGGATGCTGAGAACGAACCCAAGGTAAGCAAGACGGGGGCTGGGAAGTCTCCCACAAGCTCTCAGGCCGATCTCTTTGGTTCTGAAAGTTCCTGCTAAGTGTTACGATTTTGTTAGGTCGGACTTTGCATACGTGGACACACACACCTGCCTAATAAGTAATGAATTGAAAACATTACCGCAATGCAACTGGTTTTCTTAGTCTTTTCATTATCCAAGGACTGCGTTCTCCTCTGACCTCTTAGGATGGTAAATTCCCTCACTAGGCTATTTTATCTATGGGTTTAGTGTTCAGATAAGTCGTACTCCCTGTTTATTCACCTGATCATTCCCACTGCCTTCCCCAGCGCTGGACCTAGTGAACTTGTCCTGTCCCAGTAGCTAGAACATATGTAATTTGGCCCCTGTTTCTGCCCATTACATTTCTCTTTCTCCTGCTTGTAGGTGTGGTATGTGTCCTTGGCTCTTTCCAAGGATCTCACCCTCCTGTGGATTAAACAGATCAAACACATTCTTTGGTGTTGCTGTGAGTTTCTTGAGCAGCTCAAGGTAAAAACAGAACAAGACCCCTGTAAATGTATCCTTTTCATTGTAAATATATTCCCTCTCATTGGAGGCCTTTAGAGTATATCTTGAGAGTCCTCAAGATTCCATCATAGGTTATTTCTTTGGAAGTTTATCAGACTCTAGTAAAGAATTATTAGCACCCCTGTTCTAGGAGAGAGCAAGCTAGATACCGTTATCAGTATGAGTCCTTCTTTTCACATATAACATTCTGAACATTGGCTTATGCTCACCACAGTCTTGACACCCAGAAATCTGTTGCCTTTCTTTTTATTCTTTTGAAATAATAGATAATTTATCATTTACATTATACTAGTCAGGCTTCTTGTTACAAGTGCAGAAACCCAGGGCACCTGGGTGGCTCCGTCAGTTAAACGTCTGACTTCAGCTCAGGTCATGATCTTGCGGTTCATAACTTCATGCCCCGCATCAGGCTCTGTGCTGACAGCTCAGAGCCTAGAGCCTGCTTCAGATTCTATGTCTCCCTCTCTCTCTCTGCTGCTTCCCCTACTTCCCCTGCCTGCCTCTCTCTCTCTCTCTCTTTCTCTCAAAAATAAACAAACATTAAAAAAAAATTTTTAACTAAACAAGTGCAGAAATCCAACATGTGCAGCTCCTAATACATACAAGCTAAGCAAGAAGGAGAATATTTTTTTAAATATTTATTTTGGGGGGACAGAGGATCTAAGATGTGTTCTGTGCTGACAGCAGAGACACCGGCATGGGGCTTGAACTCACAAACTGAACCATGAGATTGTGACCTGAGCCGAAGTTGGATGCTCAACTGACCAAGCCATCCAGGTGCCCCGAGAATATTTTTTATAGAATATTCTCTGTAATGTGGCAGCCAGGGATGACCAGAGCCAGGAGCTTCTAGGATTCTCCCTCATCCCTTTCTCTCCTCTCTGCTCCCTTTTGGAATCGCTTTGTTCTCTCCTGTTGTAATCACAGTAGTACTGGCCTCACATCCTCACTTTATCTTGACCAAAGAGAAAAGGGAGGCCTCTCCCACTAGTTTAGGAATCAGAGAGGACAGTAAAGGCCCAGTGTTGTCCTGGTCGCAACCTCAAACTGGTCACAGTGGCAAGAGGGGGGAAGGTACTGCCACTGGCCCTTCTGGTCCTGTGCCCACCCTTGTGTTATGAGAAGGTGGGCAGGGGTGTGAGTGGTTGCAAACAGTGGACATTTTCACCTCGCACATTGGAAGAGAGGTTTCAGGGGCAGAGGCTTGACTCAAGTGGGAGCTGAGCGATGGAGCAGATGTCCCCAGAGCCCCCATATCTCTAGCCATCTCTCTCAGGGCACTTGTGATTGACTCTCCTGGCCTTGACCTGGCAGCAAGCATGAATTATGATTATGATAATCAGTATTACATAGAGTTACCTGTGTGTCAGGCCCTGTTCTTGGTGCTTTGTCTACATTAATCCGTTCATTTTTAACACAACCCTATGAAGAAAGCAATGTTACCACCCATAGTCAACAGCTGAGGAACTGGGGGACAGAGAGGGTAAGCAGCTTGCCCTAACTCACACACCTAGCCAGTGGTCAAGCAGGGAGTCTGAGCCCAGAGTCCCCGTCACGTTCAATTGCATTTCTACTCTGCTGCTCCAGTGAACGTATGTCCGTACATCCATCCATCCATGTACACAGCAGGCCAGCTCCAGTCAGCTTGCTTCCCAAGAATTCTCATTCTCCATTCCCGAGAGTATTTCGGATTCCGTGCTCGAGGATTCGTGTGCCAGAATCCCTGTCCCTGAACTCCCAAAGTGGTCATTCCCCGAGAGTAAAAGAATAAACTCGGACGGTCCTGACTCGCCGATTGGTGGCAGAGTGCATCCAGGCAGGTTGTGAGTGGCTGCTCCGCTGTCGGACGTATGACTTCATCTCAGTCTCTGTTGTTTCCAGCCTGAAATCTTACAGGACTCCAGACTCATCACGCTGTACCTCACGATGCTTGTCACCTTCACAGACACTTCAACATGGAAAATCCTCCGCGGAAAAGGTCTGTGGGACTGGCTTCAAAATCTTTCCCAAGTAGCATTTGCATAGAGACCTTGGGGACCTTTTCTCCTTTTTAAGAAGCATTTTCACTGCCATAAGCCTCAGGGGGGGCCCTGAAAGCATACCAATGAAGATGCCCTTGACGTTTCCATCAGATAGCATTGTAATATCCAGAATACATTCAGGATTGTGTGTTCTAATCTCTCCTTTGAATTTACGTTTAAAGGCACAGTCCCCCTGAGCTCATTTTTTAAAACTCCCATAGCACCTCAGTCTCCAAGTGATGATATTCACTCAAGCCTTGTCATTCGTGTCACAATCATTGGGCAGCAAATAATTCTATTTTGTCCATAAGATTTGCATCATGAAGCTGCCTCCTCCCTCAGATGCCGTACTGAGCCTTCCGTGTTTTGTCCGTTCACTTTGTCCATCCGCTCTGCAAATGGCCTTCTCCATGCCACGTGCTGTGCGGGCACTGGAGATACAGAGAAGGCCGCTGCCCTCGGGCTTCAGGTGCCAAAGACTGCCGTGTGCCTGCCCGCCCTTCACAGAACTGGAGAGTCTGGTGAGGGAGATAGACGCTAAAGGGAAGTCCCATACCTGTGACTATATGCGAATATAGGAAGGACTTACACGTGAACACACGCATGTCATGACGACCGTGTGAAACGTAGCGCTCGGAAGGAAGACTACGGAGAAACAAGAACGTTGAGCGGATCCGGGAGGCCCTGCCTCCCTGTGTCTGGGACTCAGGCTCTCCCGCCAAAGTGATGTCTGAGTGAACAGCTGGAGGGAGAGTTGGGGTTCGCAGAGCCAAGGGGGAGGACTTTGAGAACAGAGGCAACTATGTGCAAAGGCTCCTGGCCAGAAAAGAGGGGTTATTTTAAGGCGTGGGCTGTGGGGGGGGGGGGGGGATCATTTAAATCTTGGGGAGTTCTGGCCTTGAGTTCCAGGGTGTCTGTCTCCCAGCGGGGAGAGGCGGTGGCCACAGAGAGCAAACGGTGCTAGGCCCTCGGAGGGAATTAGGAAAGGTGCGACAGGTGCTCAGAGGCTGGGGACATTACTTCTGGCTGAGGGAGATCATAGGACCCATCACCTAAGAGGTGACACTTGAGCTGGACCTTCCAGGAGAGTGGATTCTGGAGTTCATCCTCTCCCTGTGCCTGATACCAGGCTGAAGGGGAGTAAGAAAACAAGCCACCAAAATGACGGCCTCGGGCCTGGGGTGTGCTATAAACAGTTCACGGTCAGGCCAGTGCCTTTTCTCTCACACGTCTTTCTTCATTCAGGGGAGAGTCTTCGACCAGCCATGAACCACATCTGTGCAAATATAATGGGACATCTCAACCAGCATGGATTCTATCCTGTGCTGCAGGTTTGTGAGTGCGTCCCCGAACACGTGACCTCTCTCTTCGGTACCTGAACTTGAATTTTCACAGCTGATTTTGGCATTACCTGGTGCCCTCTTCACAGAAGCCTTTTTGCAGGAGGAGTTTAATGCTCAGCGTCCTGTCCCTTCCCCCACCTTGAGTCGCTTGTGGTCTGTGTCGAGGGAGGACGGTGGCACTGGGGTCCCTTCGTTGTGCTACATCTTTGGCTGCAGAAATGACCCAGCCGCTGACACTTAAAGTCGAGAGGGGAGGCCTCAGGATTTGATTCCCTCGGGTTCCTTCTTGGGTGAAGTCTGGAGTTAGCTTTCTTGCTGTGTCCTCAAACACCCTTCTGTCCACACCACCCCTGTTGTGCCGGCTCACACACCCGGGGAAATAAATGCCGGAACTCTAATCGCTGTTTAAAAGCGGTTTGGAATTCTCGGGTTTAGAAGTAGCATTGATTGAACCCTTCCTTCTGCCCAGCACTGAGATGGGCTCCTTCCTGATCGGGTTTCCTCTTCTCACATGAACCCTGGGAGGCGGTGTGACGGCCGAAGGTGGTGCCGTCAGCAGCACGTCTCTGTGAGGAATCTTCTACTGGATGCCAGAATGTAGGAGTAGCATACATATGAAATTTTAAGGGTGGTAGTCTTTTTATTGGCTGTAAACTTTTTTGGCTGTTTCTTATTTTAAAAATTTAAACACAATATTTAGAGAGACAGTGGTATAATGAAGGAGATACCCTTTACTTTGCTCTCCCTTCACTTTTAGAAAACATTCTAAATACAGGTTTTTTTGTTGTTTTTTTTTTTTTATCTGAAGCATTCATTTTACTTCTGTGCTGCTTTTTTACGTACAAGTGACTGTAGGTTGGCATCGGCCCCTGACCAGTTAAAATGTTCTTTTTCAGATGCTGTTAACCCGTGGCCTGGCAAGACCCCGGCCTTGTCTGTCCAAAAGCACTTTAACTGCGACCTTTTCTCTCGCACTGCGGTAAGTAACTCCAGCTGAGGGGCTGGCGTGCTTCCGGAAACTTCCTCCTCTCGCTTTCCCTTCCTCCTGTTCCTCATGTTACGTGTGGGGGCTTGCCTGTTCTGTTCTGTTCACAGACAGGGTGCATCTGTGGCAGCTCTTCTGTCTGTGCCCCTGAATTTTTTGCATCGCAATTTGAAGGAAGCTTTTCAAAGCAAATTGCTTTCATTGTGCCAAGGACCCAAGACCCAAGCATTTTTCCTTTTGAGCTTTTTAATTGATAAGATAGAGAACCCCTTGAGCTGGAAGAGGCCCGGCGAAAGGCAGAGTAGAGGGTGAAGGGAGTAGTGTTGTGAGCCCAGGTTTAAAATGTTAAAATCTGGGCCGCCTGGGTGGCTCAGTCAGTTAAGCATCCAACTAATGGTTCCAGCTCAGGTCGTGATCTCACAGGTTAGTGAGTTCAAACCCCACATTGGGCTCTGTGCTGATGGTGCAAAGCCTGCTTGGGATTCTCTCAGTGTCTGTCTGTCTCTCTCTCTCTGCCCCTCCCCCACTCACACTGTCTTTGTCTCTCTCAAAAATAAATAAATAAACTTAAATAAATAAATAAAATACAATAAAATGTTAGAATCTGGAGGCTCAGGGAGGTTGTGCTGTTTGCCTTCACTTAGATTGGAGATACAAAATACATAAGCTAAGTACTTCCATATAGAAATTATGCCTGCAATTCTGAGAATTACCAAGTGCACAAAGCTGTGTCTGTGACTAGGTCCAGAACATTCTTAAACTGTTGAGAGGAGCACAGACTTGGGGGAGATGTTAATATGATAACTTGATCATCTTAATCCCCAAGATAATAATAACTTTGGGCAGGGGGAGTGTTATGGTCAAACCAGTGACGTAAAGCTCCCTGCCCTGCCCCCCTTTGCTAATCCACAGGGCACTTTACTGCAGAGAGCTCTTGACAAGTCCTAAGGTCTAAGAACCTTTGGGCCTGTTTAATCCGGTGCCAGCCCAAACATATCTGAACATCTGAATACCCAAACATCTGAATACCCCCACCTAAGTTTTCACTGGTGGAACGTGTCTATTGGTGTCCCATGGACTCCTTTCCTGTGGAATACCAGTTAGCAAACGATGGTCTAGAGATTGGTTGGTAAACTTTTTCTGCAAGGGGCCCGCTAATACGTATTTTCGGTTCTGTGGTCCATGCAGTGTCGGTCACAACCACCCTGCTGGTGTGGCACAAAGCACCTATAGATGATACGTACACAGAGGAGAATGGCCATGTTTGAACAAAACTGTATTTGCAAAAATAGGCAAGGGGCAGAATTTGGCCTGTGAGCCATTTTTGCCACTCCTGGTCTAGACTGTGCTTTCCACTAACCATTAGCCACCTGGGGTTTAAATAGACATATATTAAAATTAAGAATTCAGTTCCTTGCAGCGTCTGGGTGGCTCAGTTGGTTGAGCATCTGACTCTTGATTTCTGCTCAGGTCATGATCCCAGAGTCATGGGATCGAGCTCTGCATCTGGCTCCATGCTGGGTGTGGAGCCTGCTTAAGGTTCTCTCTCTCCCTCTGCCCCCCACTCACATTCTCTCTCTCTCCCTCTCTTTAAAACTGAAACTAAAATTAAAATTAAAAACAAAAAAAGAATTCAGTTCCTCGGTTGCATTAGCCACGTTTCAGGTGCTTCGGGACTACGTGTGACTGAGCAGTGACAGCCTTATTGGACCACACAAAGAAGAAACATTTCCACCATCACGGAAAGTTCTGTTGGACAAGGCTGGTCTAGAGCAGCCTTCTCTGTAATGAGAACCACATTTAAAAAGACCAGAAATAAGGGGAAATTATTTAAATCGATATATCCAAAATATAATCATTTCTACATGTAGTCAGTCTTTTAAATTCTTTATTTTAGTTAAAATTAACTTGGGGCACCTGGGTGGCTCAGTCAGTTAAGTGTCTGACTTCGGCTCAGGTCACGAACTCACCGTTGGTGGGTTTGAGCCCCGCATCGGGCTCTGTGCTAACAGCTCGGAGCCTGGAGCTGCTTCAGATTCTGGGTCTCCCTCTCTCTCTCTGCCCCTCCCCCGCTTGCACTCTGTCTCTCAAAAAGAAATAATAAACATTTAAAAAAATTAATAATTTATTTCTTTTCATACTGAGTCTTCAAAGCCTGGTGTGTATTTTACCCTTAAAGCCTACCTGCATCTGAACTAACCACATTTTAAGTGGTCGGGAGCCACACGTGACTACTGGCCACTGCGTTGGACAGCCCATTTCTAGAAGCGAGATCCTTACGAGAGAGGAGCAGGGGTCTGCCAGTGATGCTGTAATTAGTTACAGAAGTAGACCAGATCATCTAGTAAACAAACACACCTTCCTTTCAGACTCTGAGAGGAGTCGTATTTAATGAGTCCTAAGACATAGGTGCAAACAGGTTTTCCAGCAGCAGGTGTCCTGCATCTGCTCTCTCTGAGTCACTTTCTGGAGCAGTTCGTTCCAGCCTCGCCCACTCTCCCCTCTTGTCAGAGGCAGGGAATCGTTGACACGCAGGTGCCCGAGCTCCAGGGCACAGGGCCGCTCTGCTGCCCTCCTCCGTCTCCTGAGAACAGAAGTCTTCCCTTCCGTTCCAACGTCCCTCCCCCGCCCAGAGTGTTGTAATTCAAGAGTGATTCACCGAGAGGGTCACATCCAGCCATTCCGTCATGTTCCTTCTCCTTTAAGAATGTGGTAGCCTCCATCATTTAGATTTTTTCACTCTGTACGTTAGAGTCGTTAGAGTCCGTTGGCTCACTCTGAAGGCCAGGCGGCTCTGAAGCCTTTTCCTTAAGTAGTGTCCTTTTCCCCCTCTGAGTATTTGAATGTAATTGAACATGGCCAGGACCTTTTAAAACAAAATACCTAGTGGTTTTGTCACAGTAGGATATACTGTTGAAAGTCTGTAAAATCATAAACGTTAGGTTCAGACGTGATCACTAAATCCTATGATGCAAATAGCCAACATTCATGGGCCACACAATTGTTTTAAGATTTACACCCACGTTAACTGACTCCTCACCACATTCTCTAATCTTAGTTTTATAAATGAGGAAGTTAAGGCCCAGAGAGGTTAAGGCATGAGCAGGGCCCTGGTCACACAGCAGGGAGTGACAGGGCCAGGAGTTGAACCCAGGCTATCCTGACCTCAGAGCCCATACTCTCTACTCCTCGTTCTTTATTCTTGTCTCACATATTGGGCACAATTTTGTATTCCAAGAGCAACATATATTGAATCCATGGCACGTGGAACCTTCTCAAACTTGCCTTGTTCCATTCATTCCCCAGGCCCCCGTTTTGCCCAGACTCGGTTTCTGTTTTTTTCCCTTGTGCCTGTCCAGCTCCCTGGTTGCAGCGTGAACTCTGTACTGGTGGGGACTGTGCAGCGAACGTCTCCTTTACCATCCTCCCCTGCCATGCCAAACGCTGAGGCCACACATAAGGCCACATCCTGAGACCTAGCAGGACGTCTGCAGAATTTGTCCCCCAAGGGGGCTCAGGTGCAACAACTGCGAGGCTAAAGGAAGTGTTTTGTTTTGTTTTTTAGAGTTGATTTATTTTGAGAGAGAAAGAGTGGGGGAGGGACAGAGAAAAGGAGGGGGAGAGAGAATCCCAAGCAGGCTGTGTGCTGTCGGCACGGAGCCCGACACAGGGCTCGAATTCACGAACCATGAGGTCGTGACCTGAGCTGAAACCGAGAGTCAGATGCTTAACTGACTGAGCCCCCCAGGCACCCCTAAGGGAGGTTTTTGATGACCTCATGCAGAGGTGTACGTAACAGGGCACCAAGGGAAACCGAGCATCTAGTACGTACGTGTGATCTTTTGAGACCGGATGTCCCCGTTTTCAGCCTTGAGTTTTCCTAGACGTCCTGTGAGGCGTAGTTTCAAGGGAGTTGGGGGCGTTGGCAGAGTGGTTCTTTGGTCCCGGGGCAACATGCAAACCCATGTGAATAAGGCGATCTGTCTGTGTCTAGCCCTGTGATTGCTGCACAATTTTCAGACAGTCTGCTTCGGCCATTCCTCATCCACATCATGTCTGTGCCTGCTCTCGTGACTCACCTCAGCACAGTGACCCCTGAGGTAAGTGGCTCTCTGGTTCCCCACCCCCAGTCCATTTTTGCCATTCTTCTTCGAGAGTAAAATGTTTTCTCCCTTCATTCCCACCTCTTCTCCCGACGCTTCTACTAAGGCAGGAGCTGTTAGCGGCCTTGTTAGCGGCCGAGAGAGCCAGGTCCTCATCTTTGTTCATTTCCTTCCTGGCCATTGAGAGCATGTTGGGCATCTAGGTGTTGATGTGCAGGCGACCAAGTTCATGCTCCAGTGGGAAATTCTTCCTGTCGGCTCCCGCTCTGACAGTCTGCAATTGTTTGCAGCGCCTCACCGTTTTAGAATCTCATGACATGCTTCGTAAATTCATCACATTTTTAAGAAACGAAGATCGATGCCGTGACGTATGTGAAAGCTTAGAAGGATGCCATACGCTTTGTCTCGTGGGTGAGTATCTGTGGCTGGGCATCAGGAGAAGCCCAAGTGTGTTTGCTTTTTACTGTTCTGGGGATCATGAGTTGTTTTTAGTAACGCTCGGAAGTACTTAACGATAAAAGACATGCAGTTAGATACATAAAATAGACACGCAGAATTGAAAACTGATGGAAAATATAGCAAGCTGGCAACCTGGCTGAGTGAAAAATGTTAAATTTTGGCCCTCAGCTTCCTGGCATCCAAGAGAAGGATGAAAATGGGATGAGTCCCCTGGGTAATTCTCGTCTCAAAAGAGAAAGGAGGGCACAGCTGGGTGGTGTCTAGATCAGAGCAGAGCCTCATCATCTATTTTACGCTTTCCTTGTAAGTAGAGAAAGGACAGAAGCCAATGGGTAGAGCGTAATTCTCATCACTTAGAAGAGGTTTTTTTTAATGGAGAAAAAGGCCCTTGGGGCTAAATTTTAAGGGAGTTCGTGGTGAGTAACTTCGGTGAACGCTGAACAAGAGTGACTTCCTGGGACATTCAGGTGTCCTTCCAAAGGTCATTTCTTACATTGACTCTCGATTCTCAAGTTTTAGTGTCGTATTGAAGTGTTATATGCTAACTAAAGTTCACACACGTCTGCGTATGAGTCTGCCTGTCATCCTCACGGCAAGAGTGGGGATCATTATTCCAATCTTCTAGATGAGGAGACGGATTCGAGAGTTGAGGGTCGCACAGCTCCTCTGTGGCAGGGCCAGGGTTTGAAGCCAGGCGCGACACGGAGCAGCCCCGGCACTGCCAGCTGCCAGGTGCCTCTCCACGTGGGATTTCTTCCTGCACTTGGACGTGACTGCGGGAGCCCCAGGCGGAGAGCGGGGCTGCGAGGTGACGAAGCGAGTCTGCCCGGGCTCCTTGCACTCAGCCTTCTCTTTGCAGGCAACCTTCTGCAGTTGGGCTCCCTCAGCCCCAAGGTGTTAGAGGAAGAGACGGATGGGTTCGTGAGTTTGCTCACCCAGATGCTGTGCTACTGTCAGAAGTACGTGTCCCAGAAGAAATCCAACCTGACGCACTGGCACCCCGTCCTCGGCTGGTTCTCCCAATCTGTGGACTATGGGTAAGTCCCAGGGCAAATCACTGCCTTTCTTGTCTCCTGCCTGTCTCTCACCACCTCCCCCTTCTTCCTTCCATCTTTCTTCCGGCTTCTGTTGTTTTGTTTCTGGTTGCAAAAGTAATATATATTCACTGGATAAAATCTAGATAAGACCAAAAGAAAAAAAAACCATCCCATTGTGCTACTACCCAGAGACAACCGTGTGAACGTCCCTTCAGTTTCTTTTTTTTACCTGTAAATATCAACAGGTTGTTTTTTTTTTTTTTTAAGTTTATTTATTTTGAGAGAGAGCATGCACATGTGTGGGGCAGGGACAGAGAGAGAGGAGGAGAGAGAGAGAATCCCAAGCAGACTTGACACCATCAGTGCAGAGCCCGATGTGGGGCTTGAACCCACAGCCTGTGAGATCGTGACCTGAGCCGAGATCAAGAGTCGGGCGCTCAACTGACTGAGCCACCCAGGCGCCACTCAATAGTTTTTTGTTGTTGGTTTTTTTTTGAGATCATTTATTTTGTATTTCATTCTTTAGTAAATTGTGAACCTTATCTGTCAACCCTATTTTTTCTTTTTCAGTATCACTTTTCCTGACTCCCTAGACTGCCATATTTTGGAGGTGATTAAAATAAGCCCCGTAACTGAAAGGGGATAGAGGTCACCTCAGATCCTTTTCAAGAGGTGGAATATAAATTTAAAATTTTGTAACTAAAGGACTCAAAAACGTTAAAAGCGCTAGGCTCAAAGAGAGAGATTAAGTAAACGGCATCACAGATTTGAAAGCAGAACAAGCCTCCTGGGCTGAGATGAGGCAGGTCTTGGGAGTGAAGGTGGCTAGAGCTTCCGGCTCTTTTCCTGTTCAGATAGCTGCCTGGATCCCTGGCAGATGTCCTTGAAACAAAGAGTGAGGGCCAGGGGAGGAAATCCCAGGATAGTCTCCCTTTTCCTCCTACCAGAGTGCCATCCGGTTGAAAAGAGAAATGGCCAGCCCGTGACGGGCCCCAGTGTGATAGCCCAGCCTGAGCAGAATGGGGCAGGTGTGTTGTGGCCTCAGGAAGGACGTTCTGGGAGGCAGGAGGGGCGGGGGGGGGGGGCCAGCAGTGGGCAACCTGGTCTGCTCTGAGTGGATTTGGACAAGCCCCTTTACCCTGCTCTCCTTGCCCGAAACCCGGGGATGATTTTCCCAGTCTCTCGGAGTGTGTTGTTTCAGAGGATTGAAGGAGATGTAAGGTACGTGAAGGGCCTGCCTCTAGGCCTGGCTCGTGCTCATGGGTGGTGGCTGTTTCCACTGTGGTGCCGGGAGCCAGGGGAGCCCTCATAGGATCTTAAGCCGGGAGGTGATGAAGGCGGATTTCAGGAGTGTGAGTCTGACGCTAGGGCTGCGGCGTGGAGCGGGGAGACTTTCAGGAGGTCGGGGGTCGTGGAGACTCGCGGGCCAGGCCTGCGGGCTGGATGTGAAGAAGAGGCCAGTGCAGCAGACGGCAGATGGCTTTTGTCGACTGAATGGTAAATGGGGTGGGGTCAGAACAGAGAGAGGGCATGACTATGGCAGGTGGAGCCTGCGGCCCTGGGGCGAGCAGGGATGCTGTTGGCGGCACGGGAGGCCTGGGTGGGGTGGCAGAGAAGGCAAAGAGGCCAGCGCCTTATGCATCTAGGCCCCCTTTTTCGTATCCTCTTACTCGCCATGTCGAGTGGCAGGTTGTAGCCACCCCTCCAAGCGGAAGGCCCACTGGGGAGCTGAGCGGGCTCTCCCCAGCCATCCGTCAGGCGGAGCTGACAGCACCGGTCTCCTGCTCTCTCGTAGCCTTAACGAGTCCATGCCCTTGATCACCAAACAGCTGCAGTTCCTGTGGGGGGTGCCTCTGATCCGGATCTTCTTCAGTGACATCCTGAACAAGAAGCTTCTGGAGAACCAGGAGCCAGCCCACGCACAGCCGGCATCCCCCCAGAACGTGCTTCCCGTGAAGAGTAAGTGGCTCGGGGGGGGCCGACCCTGTGGCTCTGCCTGGCTCGGGAGCCGCTCCTGCTGTCCCTGTGTGCCTTCTCCCCTCTGTTTCTGTGACGCTCGGACTTCTCCCACAAGGGTTTTAAGACCACTAAGCCAAGTTCACATTCAGCAAAACAGCAATAGAAAATCTTCAGGAATAGAAAACAAGGACCAGGGAAGTAGCAGTAGGTGAACAAAACCGAGGTCGTATATAGAGAAGAGTGTCCACAGATGGGTGTGCCACAAGGGCCATGGTGGTTGTCTCTGGACTTCCATTTGGCTCTGAATTTCTGGTAGCTAAAATGAAAAGGGGGGTGGGGATCTTTTCTTACTCTTCCCTAGCAGGAAGAAAGAAGGCCCGTTTCTTAAATTTTAAATTTTTTTTAAGTTTATTTATTCTGAAAGAAAGAGAAAAAGCATCAGCGAGGGAGGGGCAGAGAGAGAGGGAGAGAGGGGATCCCAAGCAGTCTCTGCACTGTCAGTGCAGAGCCCAACACGGGACTTGATCCCACCGACCGTGAGGTCACAACCTGAGTCAATACCAAGAGTTAGACACTTATCCAACTGAGCCACCCAGGTGCCCCCAGTTTTATTAAGTTTATTTATTTATTTAAGAGAGAGAGAATCCCAAGCAGGCTTCGCGCTGTCAGCGCAGAGCCCGATGTGGGGCTCCATCTCATGAACCGCGAGATGATGACCTGAGCCCAAACTAAGAGTCAGACGCTTAACTGACTGAGCCACCCACATGCCTCAGAAGGTTCATTTCTTAAGGGAAGTAGAGCCTTTCTGAGTTCCTAATCATAGAAAAAGTCTCCCACGTGGGGGTCCTTATGCAGAGGTCACTGGGTCACTGGCCAGGCCACCTTGGCATTGCTCCTACTGCGGAATCAGTCATAGGGTCCATGGAAAGGTTTCTTGCCCACTCTGAGAAAAGTTCGGGAAATGCCAGTGACACCGAGTTCTGTGGCGCCACCTGCCTGTGGCAAATGGCCAGGTTCCGGGTAACTTTTCTTCTGCCAGCCAGTGTGGTGCAGAGCCCCATGTCACAGCTGCCCGGGAGCAGGGCTCAGTGTCGCTTCAGCAGGATGTAAATGTAAGGGAGAAGGTTTAAAACTAACCTTCGAGCACAACCCAAAGCAAGTATCAGTGCTCGAGGTTGATGCTGCTCCCCTCTGAAAGTACGGAGAACTGGGAATCAACCAGGCCACCCGCCTTCACCCATCATCCCCTAATACGGTCGAATTTTTACCCTTGTGGGTTCTGAAGTCCGGTGGCAAAGTAAAGGAATCCCCTGTAGGAGTCGAATGTGCCTGGCTTGTTCTGGAACATCTTCTGATGTTCTGAAGAGGTCTTTGGGTTCCACCTAAAAGCCTGTGGTTAATGCTTTTCTAGTTTACCCCAGAGAGATAACTTGAGTCAGAGCAGTGGCCCCACTGTCCGGCCCTGGCTATAAAGGAGGCACGTTATCGAAATGCTCTTTACAGAGTGAAACTGGGCAGATGGCTGAGCGTCTGCTCACACGTTCCTTCTCCTCTCCATGCCAGACCTCCTGAAGCGCGCGTTTCAGAAGTCCGCATCAGTTCGGAATATTCTCAGGCCTGTTGGGGGTAAGCGTGTGGACTCTGCGGAGGTCCAGAAGGTCTGCAACATCTGCGTCCTCTACCAGACCTCGCTGACGACTCTGACCCAGATCCGGCTGCAGATACTCACAGGTTGGGAGGCCTGAGGCGTCTTCTTCCGTCTCCAACATTGGGGGATGACTTTTCTTAGAAAAAGCTGATTTTCTTCTGGCTTCCTTAGCTCAGAAAACATATTTTGGAGGAGGTTGTTTTTGAGCTATTCCCCTTCGAGGTTGATAACACCTCAGCTAAATGCCTCACACTAACCTCCGTCCTGGCGTGGCCAGCTTGCTCCTGTGACCTGGCTCTTGTTTTCATTACGGAGCGCCATTTGCTTTCAAAAGTTACTGTTTTTCTGAATAGAAAACTAGAAAAAAAAAAAAAAGAAAAGAAAGAAAACCTAGACCATATTTAATCCCATTTTCCAAAGATAACCACCTGTGCCTGAGTGTGCTACACGTATGTATATATTTAGACTGAAATACGTAGTTGTGCCCTTTCCATTAATCATTTTAGAAGCATTTTGTCCCGGTCAGCGGTTCTTCCAAAGTGTCATTTTTATCGGCCGCATAATATCTTCATCACATGGGTCTCTGCCCAGCATTTTCCTTCTTAGCTGAGCAAGGAAGAAAGTTCTGCGCCCCGCCCCCCTCACCCCGCCCCTGTGAACACAAGAGTGTGGGTACTGGGGGCCTTCCACTGCCTCGCAGGACTTGCTTGTAGGAATTGGTCTTACGAGGACAGGAAGTCTGTGAGCAGTAAAGCCGTTGACTACGTAAAGGATGTGGAACTTTTCTGTTTCATTGTACCTTTTTTTACATCATAAATTGCCACTGCCTCTCTCTTTCACACTTACTCATCTTGACGTATTGATAGAGCACCTATGTGTGCCAGGCTGAGGATAAAGAGGTGACTAAGACAACTGGGGTCTCTTCCCCGAGGGATTCTAAGAATGAGGAGATGAGCTGTAGGCACGGGAACAATGTAGTGCCCGTCATGACGGGCACTGTGACCATGGACGTCATGAGACAGCATGGGCTTGGACTGGAGCAGGGTTTCCCGGCCGCAGCACTGCTGGTGTTTTGGGCCCAACAGTTCTTGGCGGTGGAAGCCGTCTTGTCCTTTGTAGGATGTTGAGCGGCCCAGCCATCACAGATGCCCGTGGCGCTTCCCCTCCCCATTCGTGCCAACGCTGCCCGTCTCCAGACACTCCCAGAGGCCTCCTCGGGGGCAGCGCGGTCCCCGCTTGGACAGCACAGGCCTGGCGTGGTGGCGGGGTTGGAAGCAGGGGCACCTGGGCGTGTTTTAGAAGTCGTGTCTGCAGGTCCTACGGTACAGTTGGATTTGGGGGAGTGAAGGCTAGAGGCTTCCAAGATGAGGCCGGGTTGTTGGCCCCCACAGCCTGTGGATGGTGGTGCATTTGCAGAGCTGGAGAAGCCCGCTGGAAGAGAGGCTGGGGGAACAGAGTCTTGCCTGGCTGTGAGGAGAGCGAGGTGCCAGGCAGGCACGCGAGTGGACCGCGCGGGGGCGTGAGCAGAGGCGTGCTGTGTAAAGCCCTGGGCCCGGGGCAGGTTCCCTCGGGGGAGGGCAAAAGCAGACGAAAAGGGGCCCGGACCGAGCCCAGGGCCCCAGCACCCAGTGTGAGGGTTTGAGAAGCGTATCGAGTGACGGGATTTTGAGGTGATGGGCCCGCGTTCAGCTTTTTGAGGCAACCACAAATTCAGGCATCCTCCTCGTCCCAGTGAGAGAACCCAGAAGTTCTCTTGGCTGACTTGAAAACGTATCCTTTTAAGAAGGAGATAAACTAGCGTGAAGCATCGGTAGAGTATTGGGTCTGTTTGTTTAGCGACACGCAAAGCAGAGTGTGGGAGACCACGCGCTTTGCTCCCGCTCCTCGCGTGCCACGTGCTGCCCTGTGGCCCGGCTCCCCAGGGCCCTGCGTCTTCATTGCCGTCGGAGTTGTGCCGGACGCAGCCCTTGTTGAAGCCGCGTCCGAGGCCGGGAACGAGCATGTTCGTCCCCGCCGTGAGGACCATTCACATGATGTGAGAGCAGTTGCTCTTCCCTTCTCGTCCCGTGGGAGTGTATTTGTGGTCTCCGCAGTGCGGCTGCTCACTCCGTCTCTGTCTCCACCTCCTCTTAAATTCTGAGGGGTCTGCGTTCCGTCATCTCGTCCTGCCCCTTGGAAAATGTGAGCTCCAGCCTTCAGGAGTAGTAAGTGGCCACTCCTCTCTGGTTCCTTCAGGCCACCCTGGTCTAAGCACAGAGCAGCACTGATTGAGTCTGTCATCCTCCTCCTCCAGGCGGATATACCTTCCCGAAGCAGTTCTTTGTCCAGAACCGAGTAATTCAGAGTGCCCTGTAAAATGAGGAATAATTTGAGGTACACGCCCTACTGTAGATTCAGGGACACATGGACTTTCAGAGCCATACTCTCTGAGTCAGTAGCTGTACTAATAGACTTAAAATGTGACAGCGATGTAGCCTGTGTGTCCGAGGCCTTGGAGCCATTGGGAAGCGTTCCTAAAATGTCTTCTCCACCCAGGGTTAAATGTTTGTGTGACACTTCACGGGATCTCTGCTACAGTCGTTCATTGCTTTCCCATTTTTAACAAAGGTAGAATAGTAGAAAAGAGGAAAGCTTTGCTAAATTGTAGGTGAGCCAGAACGATGGTTTCAAGCAGGGGTCAGCAAAGGGGCCAAATGCGGCCCACCACTTGGTTTTGTAAATAAAGTTTTACTGGAACACAGCCCCATCCGTTCATTTACATCTTGTCTGTGGCTGCTTTTGTGCTATGCTGGTAGCATTCAGTAGTGTGACAGGGTGTTAGGCCAGGCCCACAAAGCCCGAAAGTACTGACTCTCTAGGCCTTTCCAGAAAAAAACTTGCTGACCCCTGATTTAAAATATAAACGCTGAGTCAGACAGACCTGGGTTCCTCTTCTTGGCTCTGCTCCTTATTGGACTGAGTGATTTGGAGCTAATTACTCAACCTCTCCAGGCTTCAGTTTCTTCTCTTATAAGATGGAGGTAACGTTAGGTTTCACAAGGTAGAAAGGTGATAATGCATGCAGAGTACTTAGAATGACATCTGGAACATAGAAAGCACCCACTAAACGGTAGCTGTTATTGCCATCATCACTCTCGGTGGTGATAATGATTTTCTTAGTAATTGCACCTTTTTTCACACCCATTAAGTGTCCACTAATAGGAGTGTTTTGTTCCCCCAGCGGATAGGAGAAACCGTGACCCAGATGGTGCCCCCACCTGAAGCTTGGGTTTCTCTGTCCTTTTCCAGGACTCACTTACCTTGATGACCTGCTCCCCAAACTGTGGGCGTTTATCTGTGAGCTGGGGCCCCACGGAGGGTTAAAGCTCTTCTCGGAGTGCCTCAACAATGACACCGAAGAGTCCAAGCAGCTCTTGGCCATGCTGACGCTGTTCTGTGACTGCTCCCGGCACCTCGTCACGTAGGTTGACTGCTGTGGGGCCGAGTTCCTCTCCAGAATGTGGAGAAGCCCAATGACAGTGTCAGGAAGGAAGCAGTTGCTGATGTGATTGCCGCCATCCTCTGGACCCGTGTGGCAGGGTCATTAGGAAAATTAGATGAGAAAACATTTTCAAAGTAGGTGGCACATAGTTGGGGTTCAGCAGTTCTTAGTTCCATCCTTCCAGGGGAGCTGGTTCAGTCCCACTGAGTGTGGGCTCTGGGATTCTCCCAGAGCTGGGTTCAAATCACTGCTCCACCATTTCCTCGCTAGGTTAGTAGTTACCTGGAAAGTTCCATAGCCAGAGTGCCAGGATGCAAATCCTGGGTGGGCCACTTCCTGAGACACCCCGGGCAAGGGGGCTCCACCTTTCCGAGCCTTTGCTTCCTCACCTACGAGCGGGAACAACAGTAGCACGTGTCTCTGGGCTCTGTGGTAAGGATTGCAGGAGATAAAGCACACAAAGTGCTTAGCACAGTCCAGACACTTAGGAAGGGCTGCGGGCTGTGGTTCTTGTCATGGTTATCGACTAACCCTAGGCGAGTTGCTTAACCACTCTGAGCTTCCTCCTTCAAAGAGTAGTAATGGTTATCAGCCATCCGATAGGGAGTACGTGAGAAAAGGAAAGTCAGGTTCTCAGTGCAGTGCCTGGCTCAGAGTGGGGAATTAATAGATGTGAGTCCCAGTCAGTGCTTTTTTTTTCAGCCTATGTGTCTACTTGTGTGTTTGGTATTCTTTTAATTCCACTTTTTCCAAAGGTTGGTAAAGAATTATGAGAATGGACCCCGTCAGGCAGTTATGTTCATGGTAAAAGACATTGGGTGGGAGGGGATCAGGGACACAAGGTGACAGATTGGGTAAGAACCACGGAGAGAGGTGCTCCGTGAGCAGTTGGAGGCCAGGGCAAGGGTAAGACACCCTGAAGGGCTGGGTCTAGGACGACCCAAGAACGAGTCATGCCCTAAGGTGAACGGAGCAGACTTAGGAGATTTTCAGGTAGAGCTGTATCTTAAACAGTTCATTTATTCACACATTCTTGCAAACATTAGTTCATTCATTCCCTCATAAACACTTCTCAGGTACCTACTAACGGTCACTAGTGGCTGCTGCAGATGCAGGGAAAGATTCTACAGCTTTTCTCAGTGGGCACACACTCTCTGTCAAGATTTCTTGATAGGCATGGATAGGCATGGATGGAGAAGGTGTCACAGTCAGATCCTTATGAATAAGGAGAATACAGAGGGAAGCTTATTGTTGTTTTCCTCTCTCCGTTGTGGTTTTAAATTTTTCACTATGGACAGTTTCAAATTAATAGAAAGCGGAGAGAAGAGTAGAAGGATCCCTCAAATGCCCATTACCAGCTTCCACACTCATCTGCACGTGGTCGCTTTTGCTTCACCTCTGTCCCCAGCTGCTCTCCCCTCCGGATTCTCCTGAAGCACATCCTACCCATCAGAGTTTACTTCGTGAGCTTCTATTCGTCTAGTAAGAGGTACACATCTCGTCGTTCCCTGCCCTTTCCTCCGTGGGAAGTTGTGAATAATTTTCCATCTGATTTAGGATCCTTGACGACATCGAAGTTTACGAAGAACAAATTTCATTCAAGCTGGAAGAGCTGGTCACCATCTCCTCTTTCCTGAACTCCTTTGTGTTTAAGATGATCTGGGATGGGATCGTAGGTAAGGCGAAGATGCCAGCCGTCGTGCTGCACGCGGGGAGGCCACGGTCTGGAACATCAACTGATGCCTAGCTTTATCGCCCATCACAACCAATTGCACAGGCACGTTTATTCACGTAATTGGAAGTTGTACTTCTCCTGTCTGCGGCCTCTTAAGATAGTAGGTGCAGATATGGAAGTTTTACATCTCCCTTCAGGAAGTACGTGTAGGTGTGAAGGATTATTAACGATGATGATTTTGCCCCGGATCTCCCTTTGCTTCTTTGAGTTGATTTCCGTGAAAAGAGAACATGTGTCAGGGCACGCTCCAAATCAGAGCTCACCTCCTGAAGTGCTTCCAGTTTGCTTGGTACAAAGCTCCTTAGATTAAAAAGGTCCTTTGGATCAGCTGCTAGTGGGAGGCAGACAGTGGTGATTGTGTCTGAGACGCTAGGGTCCTGCAAACAGAACGTACCCAGGGCGCCTTTTATTCTGTCGATTCCGCGTGGACTCTATAGAGTGAGGGAGACAGAGACCTTGGTGGGGGCTGGTGACCGGCAGAGACAAGACGCCATCCTCCTGGCTCCTCGCCAGCCCTGACCAGCTCCGTGTTTGCAGCTCTCCCATTTCTTTGACCCACAGAGAACGCCAAGGGGGACACCTTGGAGCTGTTCCATTCTGTCCACGGCTGGCTGATGGTGCTGTACGAGAGGGACTGCCGGCGGCGCTTTGCCCCCGAGGACCACTGGCTGCGAAAGTGAGGAGCGGGGCCGGGCGAGCGGGTTTGTGGGGGGCCAGGCTCGCGCTCTGGGGCCAAGGGGTCTTCATCTCTCCCTCATCCTCTGTCCCCCTGGGAGGACAGACCGCCCAGCGGTTGGTGCCTGTGAGGATGTGCTCACCCTGAGGGTGGTCAGGGCTCAGTAATGGTGACAAAGCCAGGGCATAGTTAGCAAATGGGAAGAAACTTCTTGTAGCTGAACTGAGCAGCAGGTTATGAGAGTTCAGTGGTGGTTTTTATCAACAGAATGAGCAGGATGAAAACTATAGCTGGCCTTTTGGGGGTAGGGTGGGGAGATCCACTTACAACAACTAAGTGTAAGATGTCTGCAGTTTTGTTTTGTTTTGGTTTTTTTTTTTTAGTTTGTGTATCTTAAGAGAGAGAGCAAGCAGGGGAGGGGCAAAGAGAGGGCGAGGCAGGATCCCAAGCAGGCTCTGTGCTGTAAGCACATAGCCTGTCTCAAGGTTCGAACTCATGAACCGTGAGATCGTGACCTGAGCCGAGATCGAGCTTAACCGATGAAGCCACCCAGGTGTCCCAAGATGGCTGCCATTTTTTATAAATGACATGTCGGCTCTTATGTTGTGGCACTAGAGTGGGGTCTGGCGGAGCAGAGACTAGGTATTTTAGGCTTTGCAGCCAGAGGCTCTCCTTTGCAAGAGCCCAGTCTGCCATTGTGGCGGGAAAGCGGCCAGTGACGGTACGCGGTGGACGGATGTGGCCGTGTTCCGCCGAAACCTTGCTTACAAAAACGGCAGCAAGCTGGAGCTGGCCGCCCCTGCGCTAGAGAGCTGCTGTCCTATGATAACCCCAAACCCATGCCTTTCTTCCGAAGGGACCTGAAACCTAGCGTGCTCTTCCAAGAACTGGACAAGGACAGAAGACGGGCGCAGCTGATCCTGCAGTACGTCCCTCATGTCGTTCCCCACAAAAACGTGAGTTGCTCTCAGAGCCGGGCCCCTGTGCATCTTTGTGCCGCATGGCACCCGACTCGCCCCCTTTGCTGTAGCAGTTGGAGAGAAAGAAACGAGCTCGTTCACTCCGCAAATGTGCACGGACAGTGGGTCTCCGTCTACATCAGGTATTAAGCCGAGTACAGAAACTGAAGAAAGTATGCACTGGCAGTTCTAGCAGGTGGGGGGCATGTCACAGGGATGGATGCTGGGGGAGCCCAGACAAGGGGGCCAGGCCCAGCCGGCAATAGGGGGAAGGGAGTCAGGAGAAGCTTCCAGTGGTTAAAGGTCCCGGGGGGTTGAGAATACGGTGCTAATGGAGGGCCCGACATACGGTCTGGCTGCGGAGGACATGAAGGAGAGCCAGGAAGCTGAACGGGTTTGTAGGGGTTGGAGCTGGAAGGACCCTGCAGACCAAGGGTAGGAGCTTGGATTTTGGCCAGAGCCGTTGGAGCGTTATCAGCTTCGGGGTTCCCTGGTCAGAGCTACGCTTTAGAAGGTTCCTTCTGGCCATGGGGCAGAAGACCAGCTAGAGGCAGAAGTGTTATGGGAGTGGAGAGACGATAGGATCAGAACAAAGACATTCAGAGAAGGAAAGGAGGGATTCAGGTGGGGGGCGGGCTTCTGGCTTGGGCTCCTGGGTGCTTGGGGGAGTCACTCCCTGGGGAAGGGATGCAGGCTAGAGGAGGTCAGCTTTGAACACGCGGCACAGGCGTGCGGTGTCCGCCACTCCTCGAGGCCATCGGACAGTGGGGCTGGAGAGAGACACTGCACGTGGACAGCGCCCAAATCTGACTGCATCCATGGCCACGGACAGGGTGGTCAGGGAACCGGGCGGAGTCAGACAACCAAGGGGCCTGTTGTTGAGAGGGCCAGCATGAGGAGAGGACTCATCAGAGGAAGGAAACCAGCAGCGTGGTGTCCCGGACCCGAGAGACATGAGAGTCTCAGAAAGGGTCAGGTACGGTGGCCAGAGTGTCAGGAAATGAGGGAAGGTGCTGCCCATATCCCTGGTCTGTAGTGAACACTCCAGAAATGTCTGCTGGAACCCGCAATGATAGATACTGTGCTCCCTCAAAAGAGACTTTTACGGTCTTCGTGTGCCTCTCTTTCTTTTCCTTTTTCTTTTTCTTTTTTTTTTAAGTTTATTTATTTTGAGAGAGAGCACAAGTAGGAGAGGAGCAGAGAGAGAGGGAGAGAGAGGATCCCAAGCAGGCCCCGCGCTGTCAGCGCAGAGCCCAACCCAGGGCTCGAACCCATGAACTGTAAGACCATGACTTGGGACGGGAGAGTCAGACGCTCAACAGATGGAGCCACCCAGGCGCCCCTCCCTTTTTTTTTTTTCTTTTTGGACAAAAGACATTTTTAGAAAAGAGCCTAAGTCACATTTTTTGTAAATTGAACCTTAGTTTTCAGAGATACATATTCCTCGCTGCTCTTTGATATTGTTTTGACCTTGATGTTAATGCTCGCAGTTGCCATTCTTTACCCTCGAGTAGTGATTTGCAAACGGATGTGGCTGTTTAAATTCTTATTGCACTTGATAGCAGAGCCTCTTAGAAATGAAGGGAACTTGTGGGGATTACTTAGCTAAACGCCTCCATCTGGGGTGGGAGGCCTCCGACGATACACCTGACCTTGCCTCAGGTGGAAGGCCCGGAGCCTTGCAAAGCCAGCCATTGTATTGCTTTACTCTTCCCAGTGATGGGACGTTCTTCCTCACCTTAACCTGATTTACTTCTGTGTAACTTCTACTCTCTGGTCCTTGAACAGCCACTCTAAGTGGAATCTCCAAATCTTCTGAGATGTGCGGACAACTCTCGTTTGCTTTCTGGTCTTTGTGCCACAGGTAGCATCCTTCCCCTCCCCCCAGCTACTCCTTGGGGAAGTGGCTTCCAGCCGCCCATCCCCTGGGCCTCGTCCAGTTTGGGGCAGTTTAACTGAAAACGCAGCACCCTGCCCTGGCCCCGCGTGTCCGTGAGGTCAGCCCTGGACCATAGCACTCCCATCACTTGTAGTCTGGGATTGCCGCTCCATGTGTCTGCAGGTCACAGGCGCTCTGCTGGGGTGACCCTGGGTTGTCACAGGGCATTTTAAGTTTTTGAGAAGAGCACAGTGAGATCCTTTGGACACCATGTGAAGCACCAGCTCGAGCTCACGATTTCAACGCTCCTTTCGAGGATGCCACTACGCTGGGTTTTAAAAACAAAACTCAGTTTTTGTTTCAACGGGCGTGTATTTTTAAAATACGAAGCTCTTAGCACATAAATACTTACCAAGTGGCTATAGGACCCTCGCTACCTCGTAGATGGCACTGTAAGTATTTCTTTTGACCTAGGAGTGCCGTGAAAGTCATTACTGAGTCTGTGGGGGTACTGAGAACAAGAAGCCTGAGAACCTCTGAGATTAGTTGGCATGTCTTGGGGACCAGGCTATAATCTAATCCTCACTGTGTGTTTTTTCTTTGGGGAATTGGGGAATTGTGCTTAAGATTGCCATCCAAGCTTTTTGTCCTTGGTTCAGGAACTTTTTCTCCTCTCGTGGGGACCCTTCCCAATCCCCTGGCACCTGTCCTGACCCTTTTATGGCCCCAGCAGGTACAGGAGGGCATCTGAGGCTCAGTATGTCACAGCAGCAAGGCACTGTCCCCTCCTGGGGGGGGCACGTACTGCCCTCTCTCGCTGGCATGTTCTTGCCAGAGCGCACGGGGGGGTTGTAGTCTCTCCAGGCCTGCCCGCAGTCTTGCGCCTGTCATTATGGCATCTGCCCTAAACGCCAGAACTCTCCCTGTTCTTGATCTCATTCACGTGGGCGGCCCACAAAGCTGTTCCTGCTTCCCTCAAAGTTTTTAAAGGCCTCGGCTCCGCCTCGTTCATACACACAGCACTTTCTTCTCTGCACTCTCTTACATTGCTTTTACGCTTTTATGTGCAGTGCATCCGCGGACTGGGACTTGAGACCTTCTCTTTTGTTCTGGCCTGGAAGGCCTGGTGCCACACGGGGTGGGCAGTGGCTCTGTGGTGTGGTGGCCCGTGCGTGAGTCCCGGGTTTGACTGTGGTCCCTGTGTCCACCAGCTGTGTGACCTTGGGTGAGTCAGTGTCTTCATCTGCCAGATGGAGACAAGGACCCTTTCTCAGATGTCTGCTGCCGTCGTGAGGCCTCTCATACCATTGAGAGCTGCGTACCGTTGCCCCAAACCCCCTTCATGCCCTGTGGAGACCAGAGCCCCACACAGTCTTTCCTTGACTCCTGCCATTCTCACGGCCACCTCTGCACTTTTAGTTCTGTGTGGGCAGTCTCCGCCCCATATGGGATTAACCCAGGTGGGAAACTCTTCTTTTAACATTTTTTTAAATGATTATTTGTTCATTTCAAGCGAGAGAGAGGCACACACAAACGAGTGGAGGGAGAGGCAGATGGAGACGGAAAGAGAAAATCCCGCACAGGCTCCACACTGTCAGCTCAGGGCCCGATCACAAGGTCATGACCTGAGGTTAAGTCAAGAGTCAGACGCTTAACCTACCGAGCCACCCAGGTGCCCTGGGAAGCTTTTCTTCTGCCTCGTGTTCAAGTCATGCTAAAGATTTGGGGTGAGAGCAAACAGTCGTGCCTCACGGCCCCACACAAGTTAAAGACCTGTTCTGGAAGTCTCAATTCCCCCTGCACAGACAAGAGACATGCCAGTGCCCTTCGTCCCCGTCACCGCCTCCCTCACTGTGGCTCCGTCTATCCTTCCTTTCCATCTTGTCCTGGAACCCTGATACTATCCAGAGCACTTCAGTCCTTGTTTCTAGGCTGGTGAACCAGCCACCTCAAGCGGCTCCCCTGAGAAGTAACCGCTCTGCCAGATACGTTCCTCCTCCTCCTCGGGAAGCTGTGGGCAATCACTTTTCCTGCTGCAGCCGTGTGTTAACTTCGTAGTCAATGAAATGATGAAACGTAAACACACGAGCCTCTCCTGTATGTAGTTAGCTCTTGTTACCGTTGTTGCTATTACCATTCTGACTGTTCTTATTGTATTTAACAAATCCTTTGACATTTGAGGGGATTCCCATTTTTAAACAAAATCAGCAGCGATTGGATTTATTTCTTCATTCAGCAGGCATCATCAGAGTGCTTTTACAGCAGTGATTCTCAACCCCAGGACGGGGCCAAGGGTCGTGCTCTCCTGAAAGGGGCTTATCAGAATCTTGACCATGGGAGAGAGGGTTCTTCTCTAACAGTAACTGAGAAATATTACG